CAGGAGTACATCCAAGAATTCTTATTCTGTTGTTTTTTGGTTTTTTTCATGGGTGCAAACACAGAAGCTCTTTTACGCAAAGGCTGTGTAGTAGGAGTGAAAGTTTAGAATGGATCTAAGTGAGGTAAAGGTAGAAGAGACTATTATCATACTGTGTGTGATAGACTGACAAAGGCTGTGTATTTAAATGTAACACAGCATATGATTCTACTAGTGCTTGCAGGCTTTAGTTAAATCCTTACAGATTTTATTTCTGTGTGTACATGTAGAACTGAATGCTTGCTCTGGATAGTTTCTGAACACTCTGGTATGTGTCTTTTTGCTCAGGCCAAGCTATTTTTCATTAGTGTATTGTTATTACTGGTGGACTCAGAAAAACGAGGGAGAGGAGCATTCTTCTGTGCTTGCTTTTGTTCTTCTTCAAGCCAATGGCATAACCTCTGCTTGAGTAGCCACAGATGCTGCCTCTCCACAGTTTAATTCTACAAATAGCTGTGCCAGGTGAAGACTTTTCTCTGCCCAAACGTCTGAAAAGAAAGAATAGACTTGGGTGCTGCCTAATCCAGGAAAGTTCTTTAGTTCCTAGCTTGACATGCTTTACTTGTATCTATGCAGAAAGTTTGAGTATTCCCTTCTGCCAAAGAACTGTTAGAGTCCTTATCTCCAGCTGGCCAGCAGCTAGCCAGTGCTAACACCTTTAGCTGGAATGGTTAAATCTGGTAGGGGACGTGTGTTAAAAGCTCAGTCATTTTGACATTCCTGAAAAATAGCAAAATATATAGGAACTAAAGAAGGAGCTTTACAAGTTTACAAGAGTATTAACAGAACAGTGTGACTTTCCCTGCTGATGACAGAGACTTGACATGGCAAATGGCATGAACCATCCTGGAGGGTACATGAAAATGGTGGATGCAAACATATGAACTCTGTGCTCAATGTGTGCAAGAAAAATGCCCTTTTATGGCTATTGGTTGCACAGAAAAAGAATATTGAAGCAATATAAGTTTATGGCATTAAAATCAAATAAGGAATTAAAAAACACTAATCTTGCAATAATATCAGCATTTTTCTCTTGAGCAATTGCTGGTTTTCAGACTATATTGTATCAAAATGCATAGTATATTTAACTTCCTATTAGATGTAAGAGTCATACTATATGTGCCAAGCATCCAGAAGAGAGTTGCTACTCAAACTTTTTCATTCTTTTATCTTTTACTTCTTGTCTTGTAATTTTCACAGTCAAGAAGAAGTCAGGAAGAAGACTTGGTTTTGGGGTTTTTACATTAATTTCCTTTATGTAAAAAACCAAACAAACTAAAAAAATCATTTTTAGAACATATTTTTTTGTGTGTAACTAGTCTCTGTTTGAAATGTGTGCAATTCACACCTCTCTAAATCCAGCAGGGCACTAACACAGCTATTTAGAAATTTTGGGTTTGTGAGGCTCTTTCAAAGTAGCATGACTCTGATGAAGAAACTTTTTATTGTGTATTATAATTATTCTTCATAGTTGGTGGCTAGCCTTGGAAACTGCAAAGCTGACTTTCAGTTTATCTTTTAATATTTGTATTCATACCTGCATTTCCAGATATAAAAGCGGCAGTGACTCTGAGCTCTAAACTTACAATGTGTAAATTTGATTTGCACCAAAGCATCTTGAGGCACATGGGAGAAGGGACAAAGATTATCTGTATGGTTTAATGTATGGGTGGAGGCAACTGGAAGATTACATTGATGGGACCACTATTTTCAAGCTTCAACTGTTTTTGCTTTGGCCCTATTTAAAAAGGGGTATCTGTGAATTTTTGTTTGTCTTTAAAAGGAAAGTATATTTTGTATTCTTCTATCATAGCTTGCATGCAGCTGAGCAAATTCTGCCCAGATTTATATGTGTGAGACTCAAACTCTGTGTCTGAAGGAAATTAAGCACTGAAATTTTACCTCAGAACTGAGGATCTGAGACTGAAGTACAGGTGCATGATCAAAGTGGCCTTAGCAAGAAGCATTTTAAAAAATATCTTCCCAAGCAACAAGTAGAAAATACTGCAAAACTGCACTTGCACTTTACAATGGGTAAAGGGTACCTCAAGCGTACCTTGTACTTGGGTACCTCAAGGAAAGGGGTGAGCCTTTCTAGAGTTTACAAGTCACTAATGTTTATCTTTGTGATTTTTTTTGTTGTTTTTAATGTATCTGAAGGTGCTTTTGAAATTTATGGCTTTCTTTTGCAGAGTTTTGAGTGGGCATTCAGTCTCACGGCCTCCACTCTTGGATTCTTTACCTGCCTCTCCCTGAGTCTAGAGTCTGGAACTAAGTGGTGTTTGTGCACAAGGGTGCTGGCAGTGGGGGTGGGGAACTTGTGTTTGAAGTTTTATCTAAAGCAGATCTTCTCTGGATTGCTGGGTGCCCCACTGGGGTGCAATTAAGGTCATACATCCTTCTGTCTAAAGGCAGAGAGGAAGGATGGAGGAATGCTACTCCATTCAAAGTTCATTCACACTAGTTAACTGTGGCATGCTGTCAAAACCTCCTTCCTTCACCCTTCAAGCAGAAAGTGGAAGAATGGGGTTCTAGTGTATGGCCAGGGCTTCTTCTGCTGTATAGGTATGGGATGCTAGTGATAACACTGGACATGGACCTAAGAACTGAATAGAACTTTCCAGTTACCTGCTTGAGACGTGCCAAAAAAATCCTTGTGATTTAGACTACATCATGGGTTTTCCCACCAGAGCATCAGTTTAGCCCATGACAATGTAAGGGGGCAGGGATGATGCTTTTCCATTCAACACAAAGCTTGACAGAGTAGAATTTGAAGAGCTTTAGATGTCAGCAACATAACAGCAAAGAACAGTCTGGCAGTTAAAGCTGAGTTTTTCAAAAGTGACTTTTGGATTTTGGTTTTGGGACCTTGATCTGCCTTCATCTGCTGTGCCTTAGCCTGATTATTCTCTGTACTGAGTGTCTAAAATTCCTTCTGATGGCAATGGGTATTGTAAAAGGTTTTACAGCTCTATTAAAGCCCCTAAACATCTTGTACTAGCCAGCCCAGATGAGAGAGCAAAAATATTTTTTTTTCTTTGTTTATCAGGTAATTTTTGATCTGAGATCTGATTCAACTAGGTTAAGGACCAGAATCCAGTAGGCAACTGAGGGTGTGTTTCCATGCTGGAGCTCAGCCTGTCAGATACTTCCCCTCCACTCCCCTTCATTTGTAGGTCTTCATCTGTAGATATCAAAGTGCTTTAAAGCACAGTGTTAAGTATTGTTATCTCTGTTTTTTTAAAGCTGAGGGATATGCAGCTGTGGTAAAGTGACAAGCCAGACTTCACACAGGACAGTAGCTCAACTGAAGAAAATGACTGATGGTCATGAGTCTTTGCCCAGTGCTTCATCAGACCCCTCTCTAGCAAAACCAGCTTTTTTTAGTAAAACTCCTTAACTTAATCCTACAGCTTAGACACAAAGGACACTGACACAAGGTGAATTAAGCGTGTAATAGGATTTGGCCAAAAAAGAGGAAATTACTGTGTCTTCCTAAATAATCAATAGCTGAAATTGAATGAGACCTTGACTCCGATGTGGTGGGTCCTTGCTTTGATTTGGGATAGCTGCTCTTGTTTAGCTAACTTTCTTTACTCCAGTAACAGCAGCAGCTGCAGTGTGGTGTAGACATGCCTAAACTAGCTTAAATAGTTCAGGTACTGCTAGCCACTGAGCCAAAGAACCATGGAGTTCAGCATAGCTTGGTGCCTGAGGATTTTATCCTGCTCTTTGTGAGTTTAGCATTTCTTTACCATCTCAGCTAAAGCAAGCCTAGCAATATTTTGAAAAGAAGGCTGGTGGGTCTGGTACCCTCCCCGCACTCATACTTTTTTCAGCAGAAGTGAGCGTGATGCTAGGGTTGATTGTAGGAGATGTTGCCTAAGACAGCAGTGTCATGAAAGCTGTTTTGCCTCTCCCTGCCTACTATTCTCCCTCTTCTTCCCCACTCTTCCACTGGTTTTCATCATTAGCTGTCTTGCTTTCCATGCCGTTTGCTATGAAGCTCCCTAGTCACTAAGGTTCTACTGGAGATCACGAGTATCTAGGAGCTGGCAAAGGCTTGGAGAAACAGCTGCCTGCTGGAAAGGTTACTGGCCTTGCCTGACTGTGTCTCTAACTGGAGAATCTGTAGGGACTAAATATAGGAAAATCCAGGTAATGAGGACCAGACCAGAAGCATTTGTGATGTGTTCTCTCCAGTCACTCTCCAGATGGTGGGCTCCCAGCTCAGCCTCTGTAAGAGAGCTTTGCTGATATCTGTAACTCATCACTATCTCGTGGCAGCCAAGGACTTAAGCAGAAATGAGGGTTCAGGTCCTTGAGAGCGAAGTAACTTCTGCTGAGTCAATAGGGAGGTACCATCACTGCCCTCAGTTTTGTTTGCAGGAACAGCCTCATCAAATAGTGTTTGTGGGCAGAGACCCTTAGTAGACTGCCGAGCTGTTAAATTGCCAACCTACCCACTAGTTTATTCTGCAGCAGAAATACAAGCATGCCTGGACCAACCCCCAGAGCTCAACTCTGAACTCCTCTCTCGTTCTGTCAGAATTCCCAGCTTGTTTTGAAAATGGCATTTATTTTTGTTAAATTGCAAAAGAGTTGGATGCAGTCTGCTAGTTGTGTTTTGCCTCTCCTTCTTTGTGCAGTGAATTTTGTTCATTCACTTTACATGCCTCAAGTTGCTGTAATGCTGCTGGGAAAGTAATTGCCTTGCACTTTCTCTTTCTGATGCCCACGGGTGACTGTGGGGGACTCCACCCTGGGCACAGTGCAGAGTTAAAAGCCCAGCTTTTGCTGCCTTGCTTAAGACCTGGTTATTTCTTTTCTTTTTTTTTTTTTTTTTTTTTTTTTTGTCAGCTGCCTGTTATATCAATCACAGAGCTGGGATCTATTTATAGGTTGGGACTCAGAGTACTGTGTCCTAGTCACAAAGAGAGGCAGAGACGCAGAGGGGACTGTCGGCTGGTGCAGGCAGAACCAAAAGATATTTAATCAGCAATTAGAAACACCTGAGGGCAAGGGAAATTCTACTCCAGCCTCGAACCTCATCTCTCAGCCTGCAGCATGTAAGTAGCGAACTTCTAGCTTTTATTGCGTTTATGGGCTTGTGTTTTGTTTCTTTTTTTTTTTTTTTTTTTTTTTAATCCAAGCATTGTTCTGCACAAATCCTTTTATCTGGTCTAAAAATTATGGCAACATCTTGGTATAGTTAAAGGTAATAATTTTTTCGATTTTCACTCTGTCAAAGGAAGGTCAGTGCGACCCACAAGCAGGGGAGTTGGTTCAGAACTTCGTAGAAATCGGGCAGTTTCTCTATTTAAGTGTGGCTTTTTCCTCTGGAAATAAGTAAATAAAAGTTTGAGTGGAACAGTTTTGTTTTGGGAATAGAAACAGTCAGGTTTGCTGGCATTCCAAAAAGGTCAATGTATAACGTAACTCTGCTTAAGGGCTTACCAAGGACAGGTGCTATTTATCCCATGCTGGTAAAGGCAAACCTGGAAACTTTAGCAGTCCTGTCTTAGAAGAACCAAGTGAAAACCTTCTCTCTATTAAAAACCCAAAACCCAATACCCCCACAGCTGCATATCAAATCTTTTATCAGACACATGCAATGAAATTTTGCTTTTACTAAAGGCATTTATCATTGAGCAGTTGATATTTCTTTAATTTTAAAAGTCCCAAAGCAACTGAAGTATCTTCAATGACAAAAGAGGGGTGCAAGTCTTTGCAAAGTTGGCACAGTGATAATCAAAGAAGGAACTTACTCTCTCATCACCAACGAGATGTTTGCTTTAAAGCAGCCAAGATGTAAAATGTTTGAACAATGATATGTTTTTGGATTATTTTTATTAACAGAAATATGAAAAGAGGGAGAACAATAATTAGTCAGAAATTGTTTTTTATTAATAGCTTTTAGTATAAATATGAAGAGAGGGAGAAAAATAATGACTCTGAATTTTTTTAATAGCTTTTAGTATAATATTTTTGTCAAAATATAAAGGGGTTTTTCTTGTTTCATATTTTTGCTCCAGAGGTTTGTGTTACATCATTTTATGCAATTTAGGGTTAATATTAATTTCTAAGTATAGGAAAATAACCTTGTTATATCTACTCCCCAAAACCTTAATATTACAATTTTAACTGTGGTATGTCAAGTTTTTTAGCATAAATTTCTCACTAAATATATGCTCTAGAAAACTTTCTTCCCCCACAATTTACCATTTTTGAGGGTAAAAATAAATTAAATGCAGCAAAACTTAAAATAATTTGGAGGAAAAAGTGTCAAATAAAAACAGAGTAATAGTACCACAGCTGCCTCACTGTTAAAACATCAGGTTCTGAAAAATGCCTGATAGATGAATTTGTTGGATTGACTGTAGAAGGGTGACAAATAGGCTTCTTCTTTAGTTCTTTGTTTTGCATTTCTTCAATGTGTGTTTTATAATACTTAGAGCATTTAGCTTAAGTACTAGGAGTAAAAAATATTGTCTACATATTAATGCTTTCTAAGTTTTTAGCCATTGATATGAATACTCCATCTTTCAGCTAGAATTCTGATATAAGGATGGCTTTTAGGAGAATATGGATAAGCCAGGTGAATTAATGTGCCCAAATAATGCCCAAAATATCATTAGAACAAATTACCTATTATGAACCTTTTTTTCTCACAAATAAAACAAAACTGTGATCGTTGTCATCATATGAAGCTTCATTTTGATTATTAAAGCTTTTTGTTTTACTTAAAAATGGATGTATTTAAATGATTTAAGTCCTTTTCTGTTTGTTTTATCATGATATTACATTTATTGCTTCTCTGTGATAATGAAATGTTATTTTGTAATAAAAGGAGAGCAGATTTTTCTGAAAAGCATTAAAGGACTAAAATTGCTGACTCTGGAACTAACAAAGAATCTATCATATAGCTGGTCTGAGGTCCCACTAAAAATTAAAAATCAAGAGACATTGCTGAAAAAAAAGATAAATAATTATTTTCTTCCATACACAGAACCAATATTAGCATGACTATGCTTGGAAATAACTGCAACCCGCCCCCCCCATTTACCATACATTTTCACAGAAATCTGAGCATCCCCAAAGAAGTCTTCCAAGAACAAAGCTATACAAAATTCAGTCTTAAGAATTTGTTTGGACATTTCTGTAGTTGTGTCCACATAATTGCTGGGCTTTATCCTTCTCTTTCAAACACATGTGAATATTTTTCCCTGTTACCTGCCATATCTTTTTATTACTGCTTTGGAGAAAAAATAACCAAGCACCTACTGTCCTGTGGCATAATCATCAATGCTTTCTCATACTGCTTTTATTTGGAGGTAAGGAGTTACCTGTGGTTAAAGGGAACACCAATGCATTATGTAGTAGAAAGTGTTTGTTATTTAGTTTCTGCTTCACTAATGATTCACATTTTGTGGACTAAGCACCTATCAGCCTCCAAACTGTCTTACTGTACATATGCTATTGCATGATTTCTTTTTATTCCTTAAAAAACCCAACAAATATATTTTGTTTCATCCCAGTTTATTTGTTTATTTGACTGCAAAGTAATGATTGACATGCAGATTCTCTTTTCCATGCCTCTCCTTTCATTGCTGAGTATGACATCTCTTGGGAATTATAAATAAAACCTGTGCCAAATCTGCTGCACAGGTGTCTGGAGTACAGCATGCTCAGGTGTCTCACAGTAAATCCCTGAGAATATGAAGTAAACACAAGCAGGATAAAAATACACTTCCTGAAACAATTCTGTGTTTTGAGGGGCCTTCTGCATAAACCCCCCAAAGCCAGCAGCCAGTTATTAAAGACTGTGTAGCTGTCTCTCTCTTACCTTTTTTATCACTTTACCTGTACATCTGTCCATCTATTTTTCTCATCTATTTTTACATTTCATTATGCTGTGCTTGCTCTCCAGCTCTCTTCTTTTCCTTTCCTGAAGACACATTTCTATCTGGCACAGAAAATAAACTCAGATTGTGGGTAGTTATGTTAATCTAATTCAATCCTCTGTGGGCTAGGAGTGAAATTCTAATAGTGGAGCTGTTGAGGGCTTTTTTGTTAATGGCTTGGGGATTACATTGAGTTAAAGGCTCATTTCCTAATCAAACAGAGAGGGAGAGAGTGACTCCGAATATTTATGAGTCTCCCAGCGCGAGTTAAACATTGAACTCCAAAAGCAGGATTTCAGTGCTGCAAGAAAGAGTTAAAACCCCTCAGGGCTGCTGTGGAGAGGGAAAAAAAAAAAAAAAAAAAAGGAAACCAGTTAAGCCATCAGCATTTTCAACTGCTGTATAACTTCAGTTAGAGAGAAAATAATCATCCCACGAGCTAAAATGGAAACTGTAGCAAGATATTTAAAACAAAGTCAAGTGATGCTTCAAAAAGGCTCTTCTTCAGTGAAGCAGGATGCATGCAGTGCATGCATGCAGCCGCCTAACAGAAACTCCAAATAAATACTCTTCTAAATGAGAAGGATTGGAGGGTGGGTTACCTTTTTATTATTAATGCCTGGAAGACACAATTTAATTTTTTAATGCTTTTTGGTTTTGTTTCTACTTAACTCTTGGGTCACCTTTTCTTTAAAAACGAAAAAAATATAAAGTATGGATGTGTCAATATCTAAATCATCCTACTTCTGTTCTGTAGACTGGTACCTTTTGAGGCATTTTTCTGTCCCTCAATTTTGCTGGAGTCTTGCATCGAATAATCTAGTTGAAGAACTGTATTTGCTGTGACAGGAATGATTGACCAAATTAGTGCCTGATTGCTTTTGCAATGAGTTCATCATATATGCGTGGGCAGCTTGAGAAGACCTTTCTGTTGCTGAAAAAGAGCAGGCCTTCCTGCCTGCAGCAAGCCCAGGACCTCTGTGTTGTTGCTAAGACTTGGTGTGTTGTGAACTAGCCAGCAGTAAGCTTTTTTTGCTCTGAGCTGGGACTTAGAAAATTTGTCTGCAGCAGGTGAACTGCACAAAATCAAGACTGTGCTACTCTTCTGAAAAGAGATCCTGGAAAGGAATGGGGATAGAAACCTGTTGTTTTCTGACACATGGCCAAGTCATATATCTGTATTCCTCAGTTTCCCTGTTTGTAAAATGATATCTGGCTGCCATCAAAATAACTCCAAGATCTACAAAGAACAATCTTCTATAAATCCCAAGTGGCTGATTTGCCCATGGGAAAAACTGTGAATCACTGACATAGGTGCATAGTTGAAAACAAGAGGGTATGTACTGGGAACAAGAGTTGACCCCCTTCATTTTATTTGTTGTTGTTGTTTGGTAGGGGTCTTGGTTTGTTTGGTTGCAGTTTTTTAAATACATTTCATACTAGCCACCAATAAGGTTTTCTGATTCTGGCATAACAAGCAAATAGAAGACTAGCTTAATTCTCGTGTAACATTCAGTGGTGTTGTCCTATATACTAGGTCTGAGTTTAGTCGTAGTGACCCCGGCTGAGATGAAGCTCCAGGTTTATTCAAAAGTGGTAAGCTCTGGCTAAAAAAAGTAAGTCACTGTTTCATCTGGAACCATGTGAATCAATGGTCATCCTGTATGCCCCAAACTTGGCATTTTTGCTGACATGTCTATCTGGATGTAGCACCTTGAGGTAAGATTTGGCACCTTGCCCTAGTTTAAAAATTATTTAAAACTGCGACCTGATGTGAATGCCTGAGGCCCCTTTCTCTGTGCTCTGTGCCTGGACCTGCTGAGGAGCACCATCAGCTAGAGTGTACTTTATTATATGCATTTGAGATACATATTAATAGTGTTACCCTCTAATCACTGGAATCTACAGCAGATCACTTTGAAACACAAGCTTTCTGTGGCTGAGCTGAAAACTGTGTAACATTTTTTTTTCCTGCCTTCTCTTTCCCATCACAGTTTCCTATATTTTTGCCTCAGCCTTTTCCTCTCCTGCACTATTCTGCTGTGGCCAGTTTATACTTAGATTAGCAGTTTATACTTAGATTTCCCCTGCTGACCTTTCAGGCAAAATACAATTATTTCTCCTCTTTTTGTCCTTTCCAGTGCTATGCTGAATCTTATGAATGA